TTTCCTACAAGAGTGTCCTACAAGAGTGTCCCACAAGAGTGTCCTACAAGAGTGTCCCAGAAGAGAGTCCCACAAGAGTGTCCTACAAGAGGAGAGTCCCACAAGAGTGTCCTACAAGAGTGTCATTTGGACATATTAGTTTTTCGAACGCGTTTGCATTCGGGTTCGTGGGTTCCATCTTGTTCATTGTTTTTTCTCCGTTTTTTTCTAGGAGCGTACAGCGAATAGTGCTGACGAGTAAAAGTTCTCATAAGTGCAGAAGTGGCACCAAGGAAAAAAACAAAACAAATGCGAAAACAAAGCAACTTGCGCTGCTTTTGCATGTTCATTTGCTTGTGTTGTGTTTTTGTGTGTTCACAAAAAAAACAATGATGGTTGGTCATGTATGGCTGCCATCGCTGAACATAAGTTTCCTGGAGAGAAACGCTGAAATCAAACGATCCTCCAGGCGCAGGAGCGCCGTGCCTACTCAATTAAGTATGGAGGCAGGGCCACGGGCTAAGAAAAAAACAAACAGCTGACCCCTGAGGCTCCATACTGGAGAGGGGCCAAGTTGACCTTGTTAAGCACTTCAAAGTTGCAGTATCTTCTTGATGAAATCAGTATATTCTTGTCGCAAAGGTAAGGCGAGGACCCAACTGAGTTTTTGGACATGCTTCTCAAGGATGTTGGGCGGACCTTGTCTTCCCTTGTTTCTTTTGCAGTTTTGCGTGTTCTGTCCTTTCTGGGTTTTCCTTCTTACATAAACCTGGAAGCTGCCACCCCATTGTAAAGCATACAAATGGCGTAAAGAGGCTTTGGATGTCTTAAGATTTTACTCTCGAATGTCCAATGATGGTATAATGACACGAAGCCTGCCCTTCCTTTGCACATGTCGCACATGTCAGCCTGTGCTATCATTACTGGCATCACACTTGAAATTTGCCTGTGTCTGTTGCTATATCCTGGCATATTCTCCTCGAAAAATGTGTTGATACCACTACTAAATCAATTCTTCGAGCACCAAACAGTCCTGAACGCCAAATAAACGTAACTCTTAATCCAACCACAACCCTATGGCAAGTAAGGAAAGACCATACTTGACGGATCTCAATTCAAAAGCTGGCGAACTGTTCGCACCCAGCATCTTTGTTCGTCGACTTTCTGTCACCCAACGTTCGGCCCTTGTGGTCGCAACGTCAGCAGCAAAAGCCACTTTGGCACTTGCACTCCGCGCAATTGGAACAAAATTAACACTTCAGTGTTGCATCTGGCGACCAATCACCTTCAAGTGCTACAAGTCATGACACTTCAAGACCCTGACAATGTGGGTGCTTTCTGTCAAAGTGATTGATGAGAACCCCTGACAAACACATGTCAGTGAGATTGTCAGGGATCCTTGACATGAGAAACTCAATGAGACATCTTGCGCTACTATTTCGAAGCGCAAAAGTGTCAAAAAAAGTGGCCTGTACTAAGAGCCAGTTCGGGCTACTAGCGTTCCCCAATGCCCCCGGCTAGAGTGTCCAACGTGTTTTGCACATGGACTGAATTTCACACATGCCATGAGTGTCCATGAAGTGTATCAGCAGGTGTTCATGCGCGTTTCATGCGCTTCTCATGCGTGAGCTGCTCCGATCTGCTCACCAGCCGGACCCACAACATCAATCTCTGGTGGAATAATCTCCTTGCCATGCTGAATCCAGATGTTCCTGATGTCAAGCTGAAACTGGGGCTGGGCCTTTCTTTGGGACTTTGGGGCCTGAGAGCATTGATGCTCAAGAAGAACTATCATTTCAGCTAGAAAGCCTCAAACAATACATTCCATCATATTCCAGCACAGCCGATACAGAATCTTGAGCAGAAAAAAATAGTGTGGTCATCTGTACTTGTGTCAAAGGAGAACCTCGCATGGCCAAGCAACAAACAGGCATAGCCCATGTAGAAAAGGATGATTGCATAGATCCCCTGTAGGACGACATTGATGATGCAAATTGTGCAGACACTGAGTGCCTGGAGGGTGTGCCAGGATGCGGGTGGCACTTGGGAGATCTCCAATTCTGGATCTTTCTAGCGTTTATCAGTTTATCATAGTTTATCAAGGTCTCATCACGTCAGTGATACTTTCATTGAGAATATATGAATTTCTTTGGTAACTACAAACTTATCCGCAATCGCAGCATTGGGTGATGCTTCAATTTGAGTCAAAGTAGCCGTGACGGCAGAAGCAACTGCAGCACAGGCCCACAACATCATGAGGATACCCCAAAAGAGCAAAATAGGCGGGCATTCACAACATGCCACAATGCAGCCTTAGCTTAACTGGAAAACCTCTCTGAAACCAGGCCATCAAAAAGGGCTGTCAGATGCTGTCAGTCTGAAAAGTGCAACAACGCACTTGAGACGAGCACAATTTGGCCAAGCCGCAGAAGCAACCATCTTTCTTTACCACTGCAAACCAGCCCAGGTGTGCAAAGATGTAGCCCTGGGTTACAAAAACAACGCGTTCTAGAAACTTCTGCAGATTCTTTCAGTCTCCTTCAGCATCAATAAGTGTCATTCCTGCTCTTTGGTGCCAACCTACCGACCTCGTTCGCTCCATGCACAGCCTACCTCAATACTGCATATGGCAAAATTACACCATGGAGGACACAATGACAACATACTGAGGTATCTATCACACCTTGAGTGAGGGCAGTGGCAAGGGCACAAAACCACACAGCGTGTCTGGCAAAGCCGCTGGGTACAGAAAAGGACATGAATCTTGAACAACAAGTTTATCACTTATTGGAAGGGCATGTCGCTTTTGGGGCACCAGCCACACTTCGAGCACAGCTTAACATGCCAAAATTGCAGTAATGACACTGGCATTCCCTTTGGAGATTGACCTTTTGTTCCAGGTTTCGGCATGGTTCAGCCAGACTTTCAGCCAGCTTTCTACATCCCACGTCCGATCTTCACTAACTTGGTCATCGCTAGTTTTGGCAGCGGCTCACATCAAAAATGGCACACTCATTCGAGAGCGCGCGTTCACACTGAAGCTGGTCTGCATGTCCAGCCATAAGCCATACTACCGCGACATGCTGGTAGTCACATTTGAGATCGTGTAAGAAATCTCAGTTTCTGCAAGGATTGGGCAAATTTCCGCGCGTGTTCCGGGGTGGAAACGGTAGTTCCCAATGCTTTACAGCGTTTTTTCACAGCTCGGCCAATGCAAGCACTACATTGGTTTATCCCAAGCTCACTGAAAACTACAACCAGCAAAAGAATGCTCAAATGTAGTTGCTTGCAAGATCATACGCGCACATGCATAATAGAACTAAATACTCACTTCCGCAAGCTTCCACGATGGAGCATTTACCATGTACTTCCATGGGGGCCTCCGCGGCTTTAGCGAATGCAGTCTGGCTCCTGCTGCGAGCAAGCTGGGCATGACAAGTTTGGTTATTTAAGCTACTAGTAGCTTCTTGCTACTGGTAGTAATGCCCTTGTTGAGAGGCTTTGGTCTCACTGCAATTCAGGGGAGGGCCTTTGCAGGTGCTTGGCTTGGGAAACACAGTGACGCGACGAGGCTTCCCGCCTCACTATTTGGAGAAGATGGGACAGTCTTGTACAAAAAACAAGAGTGTCAAGCCAGAGTGTCCCATAGAGCCTCACGCAAGAGTGTCCTAGAAGAGGGTCATACAAGAGCGTCGCCTAAATGATCCTAACAGAGCAACAGGCAAGGGTGTCCTACAAAAGGTTCTAGTGTGTCTAGACGAGTTGCGTGTGCGAGCGTATCCTGTCACACAAGAGTGTCGTGAAAAAGTGTCAAGCAAGAGTGTCCTACTTGTACAAGAATGTCACGCTAGAGCGTTCTAGAAGACTGCACCATAAGGGTGTCCTACTACAGGAGTGCCACAGAGTCTGAGATATTCACAATCGTCCAATCCAAGCATGCAAGTTTGAACAAGCTTGGTTGTGACAATGAACGTCATAAAGTCCAGTTAAGCGGAGCTTTCAACACAGAAATGGTCCACTAATCCACCCATTCTTCCCGACAGTTTGGTTCAGGCGAGGGCACCCACAAATGCCACTCCGTCTGATGCGGGCCAGGGCACAAAAATGATCTGGAGGCAGCACTGGATGGTCACTTGCACAACGTTTGCCTGTCAAAGTGGAGGAAACCTCCACATCAGAGCTTTGTGCAGTGCAATGTTGTTCTTGGATCAGGGTGTATGGAATGCTTCAATTCGGGCATGGGCTTGTGGCGGTTTGCAAACCGCAGCACCAGCAAGTACGTTTCAGCTTCCACTTCTACACACGGTTCAGACTGACTGGCACTCTTCAGGTACTGTAATCATCACAACGAGTCAGCTGGCCTCGCCGTTGACGATATCAATGATTGCTGCGACAATTGCTACTACCACAGCAACATAGAGCTGGAGAATGCCCCACCTCGGCCAAGTTTGATTAGTAGTACAATTAGAGTAGTAGTATCAACAGTATCAATTATACACACATTGTATAAGCCTCAGTAGTATGCAGTATGCCTATTTGTTGTCTCCGCCTAGGCTTGAGTTGACTCGTTCAGAAGCTTCTAACCAAAGAGAATGCCGTCTATGCTGCCACTTGCAGAGTCCCCCCAAATCCCTTAAGAGTCTTAAGAGCCTGGTCACTCGCGGAAAGCAGTGCCCCAATCTGATTGTTTGCAGGTCAACATCTGCTTCAAGTTGTGGCAAAATCCTGGCTTCTTCACATATCCAGTGTACTCCTGGCAGGTGCCTGCACCATGTCGGTGGCAAGGAGTACTCCATGAGCACAAAAGAAATCAAACAACAAAATGAGATTACTTGCATATTGCTGGCATGTGCTTGCTAGCCGAACTCTGGGCCGCGAAAAGTTTCTTTGGGCAAGAACTGCCACGGCCTGAGTATTCTTGGGCCAGTTTGGTGTCCAAGAGGTGGAAGACACATGCCTTCGACATCTTGCTGCTTCTGCCCAACTTCTTTACAACACCTCAACACCTCTGAGCGCTAGTTCGAGCTGGAAAATGGTGCCAGCAGAGACAATTGAGACCATGATGTGGAAATGATGTTCAGGAAGATACCCAAAGTAATACAGGTGACTCTTTGCTTCAACTCTGGACACGAGTTGTGGATCCGGCTCTTCAAAATGGATCTTTTTGACTCGGGCCATATTGATCCAAGTCGTCTATTCTGCACTGGCTTCTTACCAGCACCGAGGCACCGAGACCGATTCTTCAAGGTGGGGTGCACCACATTCCTGCCCCTTTGACCAGCATTGAAAAGCAGCGTATCATGAATGTTGGTTCCGACCAACGCAACAGTTAAAGCTTTCTAAAATCCAAATGCTGCCGGCAGCTTGCAAGATCTTTGCTTGCAAGAACCACTCATCATAGCTGGGAAGGGACGGGTGTCTGCTACGAGAAAGTCTAGAACCTAATAGAACATATATATGTACGAGAAAACGACTCTGTAAAAATGCAGACTATAATTTAAAAGGCGTGTAGGAGTGCGAAACTCAAGAACTCTTTTTACTCAAAAGCATAGGCCAAGCGCCGAATATGTGCAGGAGATGGTGTTGTTGATCGGCTTAGTGCAAAAATGGTGTTCACCTGGTCCTGCAACGAGGCTCTCCAGTGATGCATCATATTTGGATTGATTATTTGGCACACAGCAGTTCGCATCTTCCATGTTGACAAAACGTATGTTTGGGGTTCCTGCGCCAGGACACACATGAAGCCAGTCAAATCAAGCCTCAGCAACTTTTGGGGACACACTGAACACAACCAAACAGATGTGTTGGTTTGCACATGCTGGAGTGTGCACATTGAGTGCAGAGTCTCCTAACAAACTCATCAAGTTATTGGACTCACTCTGGCTAACATTGCCAAACCCTGGACTTGTCGACACACCTGCACCCACACCTGCGCTCGTGCCCATTGGCCGAGTAGAGGCACACACACACACACACATTGACAGTTATTGACTCATGTTAATTCCGTCTGCACAGCACCTGAGGTACAGACTTGCCATCCTTTAGCTCCAAGCAGGAAGGGTCTTCCCGCAGTTGCTGCGCAATGGCCTCCGCTGTGTCTCTGTGAGGCATCTGTCTTTAGGAACATCTGACAAATCCAAAATGAATGAATGAATCGGCTGAGAAACCCACACTGCCGACAAGGAAACCTTGGCCAATGAAACTGTGGAATGCAAGGCTCATGAAAAGGGGATTGGAACATGTTTGCGGGATTTTTTTGAAGCGCTGCCTCGTGTCAATATCCACTGCCAATTGCAACATATTGGATACCCTGTGTTCACCATCTGCTGGTATTGACAGCGTTTTGGACATCACTTCGTCCACTTCCAGTGCTACTTAGAAGGGTATGTTGCAGTTTTTGTGAGCATGATCTCGTCAGTTTTCGCTGCTAACTACAACAGATATTCTGGGTGCCAGAGGCTCGCGGTACTGCAGATTTGGATGTCCCACGCAAACCACACACTAGTATTTCGAGCACTTTAGACATCCGGTTGTCAACTTCTCAGCTCCTGCTGCGAACAGCTAGCTATATGTAGCACTTTCGGCTAGTAACCTTCAAAATCACAAATGAAAAGGAGTCCAATAATGTTCGTCGGGGTTGGGTGAGTAGAGTAGAGTAGATAGGTATACATGTAACATCAAATTACCTTACTTCGAGTGATCCCTACCATAGTATTATATACTCGGTTTCAACATCATCAAGAAGTGTCTATCTCGCAAATATACCGGCATATACATATATCTATATATTAAACAATTTTAAGGGATTCTATCTGGCATAAATACTGTTGCGTTTATTCTAGCACACATTCTGGCATTCTATCTGGTATGCATTGTGGGATGATATCTTGCATAAATTCTTGCATTCTATTTGGCACGACCTCTCGCATTCTGATTCTATTCAGCACAAATGCTGACATTCTTTTACAGTATCTGGCTCGGGTCCGGTGGTGCCCACTGCGATCTAGCGCTTGCGGTTGAGGCCTGGTGGTGTCCACTGCGAGCTGGCCCTTGCGGTTAAGGCACTCGAAGGAGGAGGGGAGAAAGGAGGAGGAGGAGGAGGACAAGAGGACAGCTCTGATAAAATCTAACGAACCTCACCTGGCAGGTGGGGAAAAACGAATCGTATCAAAAAGGATTCCTTGTTCTTTGCTGGCTTGCTTGCTTGCTTGCCTGCCTGCCTGCGTGCTTGCTTGCTTGCTTGCCCGCGTGCCTGCGTGCCTGCGCGCCTGCGTTCCTGCTTGCCTGCTTGCCTGCTTGCCTGCGTGCCTGCGTGCCTGCGTGCCTGCGTGCCTGCGTGCCTGCCTGCCTGCTTGCTTGCTTGCTTGCTTGCATGCTTGCATGCTTGCTTGCTTGCTTGCTTGCTTGCTGTTCCTCACCGTGGCACGAGCGCAAATGATTGAATGTCATGGTGGGGATCAATCGAAGTATTCCTCTTCTCAAAGCAAGCAAGCAAGCAAGCAAGCAAGCAAGCAAGCAAGCAAGCAAGCACGCAAGCACGCAAGCACGCAAGCACGCAAGCACGCAGGCAGGCAGGCAGGCAGGCAAGCAAGCAAGCAAGCAAGCAAGCAATGTTGCCACCTCGGTGTTAGGAAGTTCGCGTTTGGGTGTCGCGAGCGTCTCCAGTTGGCATCCAAAAGCGCTACCATGGGCACCTGCCACGCAAAATGCCACACAAACAGCTAATTATATTGTCGTGGTTGTGGTTGCGGTTTTGTCTTGCGGTTGTGTGTTTGTGTTCTGCGTCGTGGTTGCGTGTTGTGAAGAAGATTTCATTATCATTCATTGATATATTTTTGAACTTTCTGTGAAGATCAAGTCATCCCATGGATCCAAATGATACTTTTCTCATTCCTTCCTTGGCATGGGCACTCAACACTGAACTTGTAATTGAATTTCTCGATGAGGAATTCTGTGAAAAATCAAACCATGCTTTTACTATCTTTTACTCCAACTCCTTGGCTTCTCTTTATCCAGACTTGTGATTCTGTGTCTGTGGTTGTGTGTTGTGGTTGTGTGCTGTGTTTGTGGTTGTGGTTGTGTGTCTGTGGTTGTGACTGTGTGTTTGTGGCTGTGCGTTTGTGATTGCGTTGTGGCTGTGCTTTGTGGTTGTGTGTTTGTGGTTGTGCTTCTGTGCTTGTGCTTGTGCTTGTGGTTGTGTGCTTGTGGCTGTGTGTTTGTGATTGCGTGTTGTGGTTGTGTGTTTGCGTTTGCTATTTGGCGCTTGTAGTTGAGGTCCGGTAGCGCTCACTGCGATCTGGCGCTTGCTGTCGAGGTCCGGTAGGGGCCGTTGCGATCTGGCGCTTGCTGTTGAGGTCCGGCAGCGCCTGCGATGATGCACTTGCAGTGTTGAGGTATAGCCCATTGCGATCTGAAGCTGGCAGTTAAGGTGTGGTAGTCAGGGACAGAAGGAGGAGAGGAGAAAAGGAAGCGAAGAGGAGAAGAGCTCTGATAAAATCTGGCAACCTTCACCTGGCAGGAGGTGAAAGAAAAAGGAACATGTAGAGCAAGTCAAAACAATTATAGGACCGGAAAACCCCACAGTTAACAACTTCACCAGACTTGCGGACAATTGGTGGTTGGCAATTGGTTGGTGGCAGTTGGTTGGTGGCAATTGGTTGGTGACAATTGGTTGGTGGCAATTGGTTGGTGGAAATTGGTTGGTGGTAATTGGTTGGTGACAATCGGTTGGTGGCAATCG